CATATATATACATATATACATACACACACACATATATATTTTTATATATATACTTATAAGCTTTGGGTAAAATATATAAGTATTCTACCTCTAAGTTAAGAGCAAGTAAAAGACCTCATTCATAGGAACATTTTTCACGGATATGAAGGGCTGACTGCTCAAAAGAGAAAGAAGCAAGTGGTGTAATAGCACAAGTAAGACAAATGAGATGGTTATGATTATGATAGAGAAGTGGAAGGGGAATGAGGAGTCCTATACTGGCGAGTTTCCATGTGTTATGGCCTCTCCAAATACCACCTCCCAGAGAAGAGACCTTGTGTAAAATAGGTAACTATTTTGTGAAAAAAAAAAAAAAAAAAAAAAGGTTGTGAAGAAGAAAGTAACATTCAAATAAAAAAGCAGAAATATTGAGAATAATCTCCAGGAAAAAAACAAATGAGCCGCAAACAAAGAGAATACCCAAAATGATGAGCTCAAAAGCTAAAGTTCATTACAGCTTTCTACTTGGGGATCTGGCAAGTAATACTAATAGCATAATATTTGACCCAATTCCGTTTTATGAAATATATCTTAGTAAATAGAGATAAAAGAAAACTTAGCTATGAGGATGTCCTACATAACAATCAAGAGGAAAAAAGATGCCAGCTAAATGAGCTGAATTAGTTCCCTGCAACAAATAATCTTCAACCACTAAAAGAGCCTATGGATATACATTTATTGGCATGGAAAGATATTCTCAATCTATTGTTAAGCAAAACAAGCAAGCAACAAAACAGAATATATTGCAAAGTTGGTTTTTTTTCCCCACACTTTCTATATAGTAATATCCCTACCTCTCTCTTTCCTACTTATTATGTCGGGGATTATACTTATTGGTGGTATCATGGGTGATTTAATATTTGTAGTTTTTCATTTCCTAATATTTCATTATCAGTACTCCAGTATTAGTACTAAAGAAAAATAACCTTTTTAAAACAAAAATCATGCACCAGAAAACTGGATGGACAACACAGCCAAAGACAAATGCAAAGGACTGGAACAGTTTTCTAAGGATGGCCAAAGGCAAGAATAAACTATTTAACATCTATTTCTCAAAAAGAGGTTATGTGTAAGCCAGAATAAGTGAAAGTGTACTGGTGGACTCACCATGGTATCATAGTGACAGATAAAGAAAGAAAGCATCAGGACAGCCTCCACCTGGCAATGATTCTCCCATCGGCAAATGGGATCTGTCACAGATCATGCCCTCAAGGACTGAAGAGATGGAAGCAGGTCCAACCACTATGGATCAGTATTTGAGTCTCTGGAACCCAGATGAATAATACATCAGAGTCCAGAAATAAGTCAGCACGTGTACATTACTGCAAAAACAAGTCCCAAGAATGTGTGGCAAGTAGACACCAGGAAAAGAGTGAGAAAACGGAAGAAGTACTAGTCCCTGTTGTGGAGTCAGATGTAGATCACAATCTGGTTGTCTCTTCGTTTCTCTGCAGCCACACAGGGAATTTATTAACCTTTCTATACTTCAATTTACTAATTTTGAAAATAGAATTAATAGTATATAACTCTCTGAGTGTTAGTAAGACTTAATACCTCATTAGATGCCAGGCATTCCATAAACACACAGCAGCTACCTACTGTACATATTTTATAAAAGGCTGGGTCTGGAAACCAGACACCTTGACCATATTTTATTCCTCAACTTTCCATTCATCATACAAATTTGTGATTCTAGTTTCTTCAGTATGGAGCAGGCAAGTAACACCAACAAGACATCTACAAGGCAGCACTGGGCAAATAGCTGGAAAGGGATGAACACACCCTCCAGAACTGAAGCCTTCCTTCCCTCCAAGAAAGGAAGGATTTTCCTTGGGGCAAATACAACAAACTGCAAGCTGTTCAGTTCATAATTTGGTTCACAATATGTGCACTATAGCCTTGGCATATCCTGCAAACTTCTGTGACTCATTTCAAACCAGCTAAGGAAGTACGTGCAAAAGTGGCAACAGAAAAGGACGAACATTAATAGCAATGGAGCTCAGCTAAGAAACCCATGACAGCTTCTGAACTAAGAAGTGTTTTCAGTACGTGAGAAAAGGAGAAAATACCCGAAGGTAACCTCTAGCCAATCCATAAAATCTCTTTACCATTCCTGCTAAAAATGTCTGCCAGTCAAGTAAGGATTAAGTTTACACATAGAGAAGAAAATGAACTAAGAAATACAAATTCTAACTGAAGAGACTCATTTTTTTTCCTGTTTTCCTATATTCTGACATTATTTTCTAATTAGCCACAAACAGAGGGTCTTGGCAGAGCAATTAACCAGGTTTAATCATGGCTCTAGACATGACCTTTTTGGGACTATCTGTGCTACTCAGTTTCCTCATTTATAAAGGAATGCTACTATTTCATGGGATTGCTATGAGAACTAGATGAATTATAAACATTCAGAATAATGTTTGGGGACCTTCTCCATTATCAGTATCTCCTCAAATTCTTGTTTGTTTGCTTGTCTTTTTGATATAGGGTAATAATGTCAAGTTCATGCTGGTCTTGAACACTCTATGTAGCCCAGGCTGGCCTTAGACTCATGGCAATCCTCCTGCCTCAGCCTTCCAAGTGCTGGGATTACAGGAAAGTGACACCCTGCACAGTTATATCTCCTCAAATTCTGTGCAGTCACATCGCCAAACAAAAGTGGATTAAAAAAAAAAATACTCTATTACAAATGACAAAAAGAAATAATGTATCTCTAATGTTCTATAACTGTTTCATGGGTATAAGAGATGATAGATGCCAGGCCCAATTTTACTGATAGGAAGTTCAACAGCTATGTGGACCTTTTTAATTTCTGAGTCATGTGGCTTAATAATGTATTTGGGTATGGTCTCGCTCTATATCCAAGGCTCAGGGTAAGATTTATATATGAAGATTATTCAGGTAAACATTAAAATTTTAACTTGTACTTACTATTTTTGAGTAGGTGACATACAAACTTAGCATGAAATTGAAACAGTACAGTTAGTAGTAAAAATTTCTCTTCTCCTCCCCTCCAGCTACCAGACCCCCAATTTCCTGCCCCAAAAGAAATGCTGTCACTCTTTCGAGATATAAAATATCACCTAAGACAGGAGAAGGTAACAGCACAGCAAACTATTTAGTTATCATTTCATGAGCAAAACTGTTGAAGAGGAATCTTTAATAGTATATACAAGACCCTGTACTTTGGTTCATGGACTTAATTCTTTCCGTGATTCTGGTGGCAAACCAAATTGAATGAGAACCAAATCAAATTCAATGGTTAGGTTCAATGTTGACCTTATGGGGAAATTTGATTCTTGCCCAATTTGGTTTGCGACCTGAATTGTGGAAAGACTTAAGTTTGTGAACCATGCTACAGAAGTACTGTATTGGCAAGCAAAAATAAACTGACAAAATTATATTTAAATTATGATTCCAGGGTTGGGGATATAGCTCAGCAGCACAAGCGCCTGCTTGGCAAGTGCAAGGTCCTGGGTTTGATTCCCGGTACCAAAATAAAAAAATTCCAATTCAGTCATAATTCACATTAAAAACACAGAAGAAATACAAGCATTAAAAATGGTTGTTTCTGCATTGTGAGATTAATGCTCATTTTTCCCTCTATATCGCCAATCTCTTTTAAAAAATTTTAAGAATGTTGTAACATTGTTTACACTTTAACACTGTTTCATAACTAAGAAAGAAAATTACTCTGGTGTCGTACCATTTCTTCTTACTATTTAACACTGCCACCAAATCTGAAAAGAGCCAAGTGTCACTATCTTAAAGGTTTTCCACCCCTTCCATTTCCACAATGTAGCTGAGGAAAAGACACAGATTACAACTATAAAGTGTAATAGACATTCCAGTTTTCCGTGAGCCCTTCATGTTTTTCATCAACAATAACTATTGTTCTTTTCAGGGTAATCATTTGGGAGACCACAAACTTATTCTTAAGGTAAGCCATTTTAGAATTGCTTTTACAGAAAAACTCCACGGCTAGTTCACAAAGCCACAAACGCCAGACAAATTCAACCTTTAACTCACAATGCTACCCAAATAACCTACATAAAAAAATGTATCTCATATTGAAGCTGGGCAACATATTAATAGACAGTGCAACTATAAAAATCAACTAATGCTACATACATAGGTCTGGCTGAATCTTACAAACAAAACTGAGTAAAACTTTAGACACAGTACCATTTAGATGAAGTAAACAAAATGCAAAATAATACTATCCATTATTTCTGCAAGAGTGTACATCAAGGCACAAGGGCTTTATTCCTATCGGGGATGGGAAGTGCTACTATCAATGTTCCCTTGGCTCTGGTTCACAGTATTTCGAATAGCACCAGCTTGCCGGGGGTACTGGCACAAGCCTGTAACCTCAGCACTCTGGAGGCTGAGGCAAGAGGATCACTGAGTTCAAGGACAGTCTGGGCTAGATAGTGAGTTCAAGACCAGCCTGGGCTACACAGTGAGTTTAAGGCCAGCCTGAACTATATAGCGAGACCCTGTCTCAAAAAAAGAAATGCTGGGGAATGGGTGCAGGTATATACACTCCCAATGACTAAGCTGCACTGAGTGTGGTGACAAAGGCCACCCCATAGTTCCCCATACAAGACTCAGAAACTGATCAGTTTCTGCGGCATTACCTACCATTTATAATTTCCAGTTCATCATCTGCTCTCTGGAGCAATTCAAAATTTATTCCTGCTACTGGAACAAATGAGAAAGCAATTTGCGTTTGGATATTTCTCCCTTAAAACTGAAAGCAAGCTCTCAGGCACTGGTGATGGGAGATTCTACTTATAGTGGTGTCCTGGCAATGAACACACTGCAGCAGCCGGGGCTTCCCTCAAACACCTATCGAAACTCAGCTCCTGGGCAATCCAAGCAGCTGATCTATTGAGTCAAACAAAGGGCTCCTAGAGACTGCAGTGCCAAGAGAGAAGAATATGGGCAAGGGAACTTACTGAGAGGTTGGCCACCGTCTTGATGGCCTTATCTTTTCTCTTTATGAAGTCATCATCCTGAAAGACAAACACAGGAATTAAACCAAGCCCATAGAAAGATTAAAACCCAACAGGACTCCTCAAAATTCTTCCGTATAAACTGACACTTAGATTATCACCTCAAGCCATATCAACTTTCTAACAAATAGGAATGTACTGTACTCTCCAAGAAAAAGGCTAGGATCTCTGCAGATGCCCCCAGTACAGATCCGTTCAGCTGGTAAGAAGGAAGGCCATGGCGTATAACAGTTAAGGCAAGTTACCACAGCAAAACAAGGACAATAATACCCATTAGATGGAACAGAAGGCGTATGACATATTGGCATGAAGTATTCCATAGTGCTTAGCTATTACGACTGCTGTTTAATTATTATAAATCATTACCATAGAAATATCCTAAGCAAGTAATCTCTCAAAAAACTTTACACAGAAATACACTCTCATTTTTGTTGTTTAATAGTTCTGCATCAAGTATCAAAATTCAAAGAAAATGACAACATTACAGGGCTTAACATTCCATGGCCATTGCAAGAGACACTTCTATTGAACCACAGGCCCATTTCAATGCTGGGGTGAGACCAAAAAGAGGCAAAGTAAGCTTAACATCCTCCTTCCTGGGAGTCTCTAAGTGTACACTTATTCCCAGTGGAGAAAAAAGGCAAGTACAAAACTGACCTCAGGGAGACTGTAGGTTTTCTGGAATTGGGATATAGAGTAGGAACGGATGTAGTCACCCATTTCTTCTTTTGTTTCTATAGCTCGTTTCACCAGCCACTGGAGAAAGAAGTGAGAAAATGTGAGTCAACAGGAACAAAATCTCACTGTGGCGAAGTCCTACTCAGAGATAACGCATCTTCTGAACACGATCAGCACAGCTGTCCTCATAGAAAAGCAGCTGGCAGGGTACCCAAGATGGTAAGACCCAGTGGGACCACTGCTGAGTAGCTGCATAGGTGTTTTGAAGCTGTACTTCACGTCCTCACGCCTCAGTCTCTCTGAAAAAGGAAGATCATCTGTTCCGTGATATTAGTGATTGTACAGAGCTGTAACAGGAGCAAACAAAATCACAAGAGTGCTCTGTAAATATCTGAAGCACAAGGTAAACGTAACTATTCCTCCAACTACTGGCCCTAGTGGCAGCTCTTAATGTAAACTCTTTCCTGTGCTGCTTGCACCACTGAACAGGGAAAGGGGAAAGAGTCACAGACAATATCTCACACAACCCTTCATTTGATAATGAAGAAAATCCCCACAATATTATGATTTGAAAACAGTGTGTACTAAGAATCCAAGGCACTGGATTATCCTGATATAATAGTCTCTTAATCTTTAAAACATTATAAGGTAGAGGACACTAGCTGAGTTTTACAGAAGCTGAGACACAGACAATATAATTTGTTCATCCTTCTGTAGCCACAAAGCTGGGAAGCTCTTTTCAGCTTTACTGGGTTGATATCCAGAAGCAACTGATCTTTTATCCAACTTAAACTCCAAGTAATTAAAACACAAGAGCACAAACACACATGTGCACATACCCACAACCTGTGGAAGATCCTGAACTGCAGATAAGAGTGCAGAAAGGAGTGCATGGTGTAGAAAAAACTTAAAGCATTAAAGGTCACATGTCCAGAAAGTCACAGAGGTAAAGCTTTTTATTTCATTTTGTCAAAATAAGACTAAACCCAGAGCCTTTATAGTGAGCTACATACCCAGTTCTTTTTTCATTTACTTTTATTATGAGACAAGGTCTCAAAATTCTGATTTTGAGACTCAGCCTAACTCAGCTTCCCAGAGTGCTGGAATCAGAGGTATGTACCACCATGCCCAGATTGTGGGGCAAGGCACAAACCTAGGGAGTCTCCAAAGTCTGTGATTTTAACTCCTACACTATGTAATCCTACTGCAAAATCAGGGGACATTCTAGCAAGGACTGCGCAACCATCTTCTCCGGGCTGTATGACTGGTGGAACAGGAAGGCATAAAACTCAGACAGTGTTCAGACTAGAATCTTTACTTGTCCATCCACTACTTCTCTGACCTCAGCAAACTGATCAGTCTGCGTCTCTCCTTCCTCAAAAGTAGGACTGGAATTATAATAGATGTTTAAAACAAAAACACTTTGAGGATCAGACACAAAGTACTGTTTACACAGCAGAAACAAATATAAGTTCCTCTGCTCTTCCTCTTTTCCAGGTGCCTAGGAAGTCCAGAAACAAGAACTACATAGAGTATAGGAAGCTGACAGCAAAGGCCACTTAATCACAGTCTTGGGAAAAAGCTTGCCAGAGAGAAGTCTCCCAGGAGACTTTTAACAATCAAATAATGACTAAGGGCCTACAAATTGCCAGACATGCTGATAGCTACTTGAGACAGAGTGAACAAGACAACCATGATGCCTGCCCTCATGAAGCTTACAGTCTCAGGGGAGAGACAGATAAATAATCATACATATCAATATACATGCTTATAAACTCCAGGAAGGAAGTTTCCCGTGAAGGAAGGGAATGTGGCTATATGAGGAATAGAGCAAAGGAACTTGTTTTAGATTAAGCAGTCCAAGAAAGCTTTCTTGAGAAGGACTGGCAGAATCAAGACCTGAAGGATGAACGTGAATTTTAAGCACATAAGGAAAGAAGGGAAGAGCATTCCAGCCCGAAGAATTAGGATATGCAAAAGCTTGATGGCAGGAGAAAGCCTAAGTACAGGAAAACTGGAACAAAGTAAGAAGGGCTAGAATAAAAAAAAAAGCAAAGAATGAACTGAAGCTGAACAGTAAGTTGGAAGAGGTTACAGCAGGGCTCTGGGGTTGTACCTTCACCCATAAATAAAAATGGGTAGTACCTTATATAAGGTTCACCCATATTTTATTTTATCACCCATAAATAAAAATGAAGTTGTACCTCCACCCATACATAACAAGTAACAGTGTAATACCAGGGCAATGTTGGTGAACATTTTTAGAAATGAGCATCCAAACTGCAACCCAAAACCCACTTACTTATTACAAAGTACCAACACTGCAAATAAACCTGAATGTTGATGATTTAGTTTAGAGAAAAACAACTTATACATTAACATCTGTTATGTTAAAAGAAAAGTGACATGTGTGCCATAGGTTCACCACCACGGAACTAGGGTATATGGAGTACTGGAAACTTTTTCAAAATAGTGAAACACTATCATGTTCTGCTGCAACAAATCCATTCCACATCCATTAAGCCAAGGATGCAGGCCAGACGATCCAAAAGCCAGATCTATTATAGGAACTTTGATGTTCCGAGGACAAGAAACCACATGGAAGATCTCACCTGCACAACAGGAAATATGTGAATAAAATCCATCCCTTGGATCTGATGGGGTTCCAGCTGATGTGGACATTTCATCCTTGGAAGGACTGAGACAATCTTTTCTGATAGAGCTCTGTCAGAGAAAAACAGGCAGAGAGTGAAAACACAGTGATAGTAGTAAAGACATTTCTAAATTCTGGGCAGCATCCCAGAAGAACTTGGGCTTCATATTGCAAAGCCAAGAGCCAGACTGTGACTGAGTTTCTCCTGGCTGGGTGCAAAATAAGAAAAAGTAGCACAACTTAGGTTTGCATGTAAGGTCACAAAACTCTCTTTATCATTCATTTAAAAAGTTTTTCTTCCTATTTTTTTCAATGTCAAAATATTTTCTTTCTTTATGGAATGATAGCGATGTTGAGGTGGCAATACTTGCAATGTCCTTACATAGTAAAATAAAAAATTATCAGTGCTGTATGTTCTTTTATAGTCCATTTTAATGACCTGCATTTTTTATACTATGGTACAAAAATATTTTAAAATAAATAATACCCTTTGTGTGTGTGTGTGTGTGTGTGTGTGTGTGTGTGTGTGTCTGTGTACGTGTTCGAAAATCAATTCTAGGGCCAGGGATATAGCTTGATGGCATAAGCACCTGCCTGGCAAGCACAAGGTCCTGAGGTCAATTGCCAGTACCAAAACATAAATAAATAAATAAATAAATAAAATAAATTCTAGATTTGGGAGAACTATTTCCACAGAAAGGGGAAACTTTTCTGCTCTGCTGAGGAGGTTTCTCAGCTTTGTCTGGATGGGATAGTTTTTTTTTTTTTTTTTTTTTCTTCAATTCCATCTTTTTTTTTTTATTTTAAAAATAAAAGGAGGAAAACATTAACAGACAGACAACATTTTACAAAATAGCAAAAGAACAGTACAGACAATACGGAGTTACAAACAAGGTGGTAGGGAATTAACAATGCTTGTATTACATATTGATATCTTCAAAGTGGTTTTTCATGAAAACAGATACAGACATGAGATACTGATCAACCAAGGACTCATTGACAGTTTCTTTCAGCAAAGAAATAGAACACAGTAGAACAGCCATGTTAACTATCCTGCATATACCTACATACAAAATTTCTCCTCCTTTCCCTTCTCTTTTCCCACATCCCAGTGGCCCTTTACCCTAGAGTGCTTTCCTATCATTTCACAAAGTCTATCATACCTCCTAGTTTAATTAACTCTTTCAGGTTTTACACTAGTGAAACAATGTGGTGCTTGCACAAGTATGTTTGATTTATTTCACTTATGAGTATGGTCTCTAGTTGTGACCATTTACCTATAAAAGCCTAGAGTTTATCTTTCTTTACAGCTGAGTAATATTCCATTATATAAAAGTACCACAATTTTCTTATCCAATCCTCAGTGGATAGACATTTGGGTTGCTTCCACATTTTAGCAATCACAAATTGTGCTGCTATGAACATGGGTGCACATACATCGCTGTGATATGATGTTTTTAGATCTTCTGGGAAAATACCCAGCAGGGGGATAGCTGGGTTGAATGGGACCTCTAGACCTAGTTTTGTGAGGAATCTCCAAACTGATTTCCACAGTGGTTTCACCAGTCTGCATTCCCACCAGCAGTGGAGAAGGGTTCCTATTTCTCCACAACCTCGCCAGCATTTGTTATTGGTTGATTTCTTAATGCCAGTCATTCTTACTGGGGTAAGGTGGAATCTCAGTGTTGTTTTAATTTGCATTTCTCGAATGACTAATGATGTTGAACATTTTCTCATATATTTATTTGCCATTTGTATCTCCTTGTCTGAGAAGTGTGTATTCACATCAGCTGCCCATTTTTGGATTGGGTCTTTGAATTTGGAGTGGCTGATATTTTTTAATTCTTTATATGGATGGGATAGTTTTATGGTAAAAAAGAGAGGAGGTCTTGAGTGCAAGTCTATTCTATCAGAGCCTTATACCTTTTTCTAATTAGCAAGTAGCTGATCGCTATATGATTCCTGTTTCTTATACCTTAATTGTATCAGTTCAAGTGGAGAGAAAAAAGATTATTTAGTGAGTCTGTAATATCCAAAGCCATAGCATGACAACCAAGAGCCTCCAAAAAAAAGCCACCAGGCATGGCTTTCTGGAGCTGTCGAGAGAAACAGGGACTTTTGGCTCCATTTTTGTCATATCTACACCCAAAAAATATTAGCTAGTCAAGGCAGCGATTGTGATCTTGTTTACAAGTGCAGAACTATCCCCTCATGAATGAAGGCCCTGGTAAACAAAGGGTCACTTATTTCTTAGTGGATACTTTAAACTCAACACGTTTTGAGTCTCCCAGAAGAGTTCCTTTTTCAAAGAAATCTCCACTTGTCCTGCTGCAGTTCAACTCTCTTTTCTGGGAGAATGACACCCTAAACCCCAAAATAGAACACAGGCCTGTGTGGGAGCTATGATAATTTTTACCCATGTTCCCCTCAACAGGTTTCATACCCTCAGTTTTAGGAGGAACTAAATGACCTAGGGGCAAAAACTAAACAACCCCCATTATGGATTAGATCTAAACTGCTACCCCTAAATTCTCATGTCTGAAGAAAGTGAATGGGTCCTGGGGGTACTACACTCATCAGTGGACTCATCCACTGAACGTGCTGTTAGAAAGTAAGACCTAGTTGGAGGTGGTTGGGTCACTGGGGGCACGATTTGAGAGAACAGATCTCCTGTCCCAGATCATTCCTTCACTTCCCACGTCCTGGCTGCCATGGATTGAGCACCTATTCCTCCTCCACACCTCTTGCCATTCTGTTCCTGTTTCGGAGTCAGCCAATCATGGACTGAAACTGCGCCAAGATAAATCTGTCCCTTTAAACTGTGGGTGTTATCCAGCAATAAGAAAGTGACTAAGACAGTCCTCTAGGGAATGGTCCTTAAATACACATTACAGGCAGTGTTTGGTATCTGGAAAGCAGCTTCAGAGGTAGAAGGATGAACTTCTGAAGATAATAGTCAATCCCACTGACCCATGTCTAATCCAGTATGTTAAAAGAAAAACACATGCAAAAAAAAAAAAAAAAAAGAAAAACACATGCAGAGGACAGACTGATGCCCTACTGCATATATTCACAGAGAGAAGGAATATCCACCTCCAGGATAGAGCCAGATAGAAAAATATTTTCTGCCTCTTCCTCCTTACCTCTCTTGAAGAGAAGGTGGGAGGGGCTGTTCTAAAACAGCTGAGAGGAAGAAGAAAGCTGTTATGTGGGGGTCTCAGCCATTCCAGTAGCCACTACTTTCTGAGGCTGCCGCCTTTGGGATATGTGTCTTTTTTGCCATGAAATGTGTGGCCAGCCCCAGTGAGGAAGTCTGTGGCTATCCAGGTCTGCTCAGGGATCAAATGGGATAGTGTGGTAGTGGAATACTAAAAAATTCACTTGGTAACACATCGAGGCCTTCTCTAATAAGCTTTATTTTTTATTTTGATCTCCATCAGGCACCCACGCCTGTTTAATTTCTTTGAAACTTATGAGAGGAAGAGATGAGTGTTTAACTGCCCCTGCTACTCAAACTTCAAGCTCAGCAAGTGAAGATGAGAACCAGGGCCGGTTCTGAGTCTTGCTTAGTGCATGTCTTAACTGTATTCATGCCAGACACCTGTGTATGAACCCATATACCTATGAACACAGCCTTTCCTTAGTCACATTTTTGTTCAGTAAGGGGAGCGCTCCCTCTAGTGGCTACAAATCATCTGGTTTACATAGTGTTACCAAATCAGGCAGCAGCTGAAATAAAATCAAGAGGTGGAGATGCCAAGATAATTCAGCCCAATCCCTCTTCCTTCACATAGGGTCCTCCCTGGACACCCCTCAGGGCTAGCCTATTCATCTGTTCATCAGTAAAGGGAACGATACTCCAGGTAATGTCAGGGTTCACAACACTTTTAAATCAACCTTCCAGAAATTACTACTATGTCTGGACAGTTCTAGCAATATGTGGAAGCACTGCAATTAGAAGGAAATACAGGCAGAGAATAAAGTCAGAAAGGCTTTCCACAGACACCCACCAGCCCCGATTCGGCTTCTCTCTGGTGCTCAGGATGGATCTGTTGACTTCTTAAAAATCAGGAGGAGAACAAAAGAGGTCACCAGGCAGGTTCCCTAGCATAAGATTTTAACATGGCACCTGTCACGATGGTTAACTAGGCTGACTCCTTTAGTTTTTAAGAGTGTTCATTTACTGTTTCCTCCTTCACTGCAAACAGTTTGAAATAGGGCAGATTAGACCTAGACCTAAATCCAGCTCCACCACCTACTCAGGGACTTCTGGTGAGTAAATGACCCTCTGGTCCAATACTCCCATCATAAAATGAGAAATAAGCCCTGCTGTGCCTATTCAATGTTGTTTTGAAGGCTAAATAATAAAATGTATGCACAAGCACTTCAAATATAGGTTGCCTTGACCAGGAACTGTCTTCCCTCAAGTCTCAACTCTCCGTCACCCTACAATGACTGTCCTTAAAACTACCACTGCCTCCTACCTCGAGTTTCTCCCACATTCCTCCCAGCAGTAACTGTTGCCACTGCACACATTGCTTCTATACATACTTTATTATTGTTCACAATCTGTCTCTCACTGCAACACTGTGAGCTCAGTGAGGGCAGGATGTTGTTCAATAATGAATCCATAGTATCCAGAATAAAGCCTGATCCATAGCAGGGACTTGATAAACATTTGTTGAATGAATAAATGAAAAGTGACTTTTCTCACCTGTGATATTTTGAAATTTCTGCTTCAACCATCACCATTACAGTCGAGAAAATTATATTTTCTTTTCTCAGATTCTATCACAGTTCTTAGATCTTATTCTAAACAATGATTACAAGTTTAATTTTAGAACTTTTCTGCCAAGTATGAACAACTTAATTATTATGAATATTCTTTTACCATTTTAAAGGTAAGTAATGTTAAATGAAAGCTGAAAGTAGAAGGAAAAATAGATGCTAAAATGTACATCCTAAGTAGTTGAAAATAGGTAACAGATCAAGAAATAAAAATTTAAGTAGAATAAAACTATATAGGCAGCAATCTTTTTAAAAAGTAATAAAAGTTCAGAAGAGGAACATAAAGGGGATGCTGTGAGTTAAGGTGAGATAATTTCCCATTCTTATCAGACTTTAATGAAAAGATAAATCTGGGGCTAGAGATGAGAAGGACCACTATGAAAAATTCCAAACCTTAAACAGTTGAAGATATTTCTTTCCAGGGAATAAAACTGGGGTAGAATGAAAAGAAGAGACATGACCTTTGTGTTTTGTTTCCTTAGTTATAATTGAATTTTTCTAACTTCAGGGATAGTACACCTATACTGTACAACAAAAACAAAAAAGAATAAGAACCTACCTCTGGATAATGGGAGGGGAGAGCACACACCTGGACTCCGTGCATTGCCTACTGAGAAAAATCTTTCATCTCAAGTGGCTTCTTGATGCCATGATCTCAAAGTGGCAGACGTTAGGGATACAGAGCCCTGTTACTCATAGGTGGCCACTAATAACGCTACACTAAATAGTGTTCTTTTTAATGACAGCCTTGAGGGATGTCCATTGGTCTTATTGTTAAGAATTTGATTCTCAGGAACCAATTTTCCTTCTACTGTAAGTCAAATGTAAATAGACAAATATGTCACATTTTTCTCTTTCTGTTGGCTGCCAGAAAGCTTACAGCCAAATCTTCGGAGAATAATGCATTTTGTGGGCCCATTACTCATGTCCCCAGTTGTTTTCCTTTTCCTTTACTCTGCTTTTCCACTATTACTGATTCATGTATATATTTATTACCCATTTTTAATCCTTCTGGAAGTGTTTTTTCTTGAAATAGGGTAAAATTTCAAACACAAAATGACAGAATCATATATATTTGAGCTCAAAAATTTCACTTCTTACAGATAACAGAACCTAGGGCCAGAGAGTGGCCTGACCAAGGGTGCCACTAGCAGGTGTGCCCACTAGCTAGGGGTGCTAGGGGTGCCCACTAGCAGGTGTGAAAGAACTATGTATCCTTACTGACTTAATAACATGGCCAAGCCCCTATTGGACCATGAAAGACTGTGCAAGGTACCCTCAGATGAAATCCCTTGCAAGGAGCCCATGCTGCCTTCTCTTAAAGGCAAGCAAAGTAAGGCTCTAACACAACAAAAGCAATGAAAAGGGAAAGTCTCCTTTCCTCCTCCTAATCTACTTCCACCCAGATTAGTATCTTAGAAAAAGATGAATTACAGTCACTGGAAATTGTGATCAAGAAATACAATCAGCAATAGCCTGAACATTAAATGGCTTTATACACTAGCTATACAACTTTGGCTTCTTTCAGCTTCAGTTCAATCTATAAAATTGGGATAGTATATGTTACAAGAAAAATTAAAATAAAATATGTGAAGCATCTAGCACAACTTCTAGCATTTAGGAGATGCTCAAAAGTTAGTTCCCCATGGCCACACTCATTTGTGTGTGTATTATCTATGGCTACTTTTGCACTACAACAGCAGAGTTGAGTGGCTGTGACAGAGATCAGAGACAAGCCTAGAACATTTACTACCTGGACCTACTCAGTAGAAGTTTGCTGATCTATGATCTAAAGCAAAAATAGGAGCATTCTACTGCTAAGTTGGTAACACATATAAAAAAATAAACATATAGTACAAGAGAGAAAAAGGCAGAATTAGCAGTATAGTGTTAGTTATATGGGTCTTACACTATATGTGAAGTATATCTTCACATACAGGCTAGAAAGACAGACTAATAAATTAAAAATACATGTTACAAATATCTTAATATTGGGCAGCCACTAAATTTTTAAAAAGGAGGATAATTAATAGCCAAGACAAAAGATAGAATAGAGCCACAGAAAAACACCCAGTCAATGCAGAAAAGGTAGAAGAAAAAATAGAGAAACAAAGAAAAAATGAAAAAAATATTAAACGACTAGCAAGAGGACAGATTTTTAAACTAAACCATAAGTACATTAAATATCATCTAAACAGAATAAAAGTGATTATCAGATTGTGTAAAAAGGGTAGCATTAGCTAGATGATATCATCTAAAGAAATCAACTTTCAAAATGAAAAATTACAAGAACGTAAACACTACACCATAAAATGTTAAAAGAAAGCTGGATGTTAACATCAGACAAGTAGATTTCAGGGGGCTGGGGATTTGGCTCAGTAGCAAAGTGCCTGCCTGGCAAGCGCAAGGTTGTGAGTTCGATTCCTGGTACCAGAAGAAAAACGAAAAACAAAACAAAACAAAACAAGACAAGTAGATTTCAGGACAGGAAATATTACCAAAGATAAAGAGGACCATAACAAAATGAAGAAGGGTCAGCTCACCAAAACACTAAGGAATGAGATTTACTTGCTTGCTCTTCTCTTAATTACATTCTTACAAAGATACTAATAGCATGGATAATTTGTTTTGAAAGATCACATACACATTTATGTGTTTGGAACACATTTACAAATATTATCTATAGGATTTTCTGACCCAGCTGTATTTTCCTTCACTAAGTACTATTAGTTTGTAATACTAAGCAAATAAATAGCCACATCAATTTTAAAAACAAAAAATCAAAACAAATATACTCTGAAATGTGCTACAGGTGAAGAGTAATCAGTTTGGGGCTAAAAGTATTGGAGATGATCCACATATAAGCATTTAAGTTTATATTAAGAATAAACACATATAGTATATCAGTAATGAAAAAGAATGTGACTATAAACACATAATTACCCAGACCCACAACAGTTCCCTTCTAACCCACTTTAGGCTCTTCTACCACAAATTCAAATAACTTACATTTTTTGACCTATTGTAGAGTTTTCCTGAAAGAGCAAATCAATGTCTATATCAAAGGTACAAGTGGTGATACACCAAGTCATTCCTCCTACTACCTGTAAGAAATAAAGAAAATATTTGTTTTCTCTCTCAGGGAAAGCAGAAGTAAAAGATAAACTATATAAATAGTTCTCAGTAAATATAGAAAATTATGTGACTTCACAGAGAGAAAATGTCCTCCTTACATTCAATTCATCTAAAATGGCAGTTAAATAAAACTTTCTGTGATGATGGAAATAAATGTTCTATACCTGCACTGTCTAACACTAGCCACACGTTGCTACTGAGCACTTGATAATATGACTTTTATTATTAAGGGGGTGTATTATCTACAGATCTTCTTTACAATAAAGAGGACAGACATTAAATCTCAGCTGATTTTCTTGACCCAGTTTCAGAGAAGTGCAAGACTCCAAAGGAACTATGTTTTATAGACCAGACCTAAGTGCAGCAATTGGTTGCATTTTTGGGCTGCATGTCAAAAGGTTGACATTTTTGGGCTCATTATTTAATTTCCACACATATTCTTATCTATCTAATGAAGATGAGAATCCCTGCTCTACTCTGTTTACAGAATTTCTCTGAGATGCAAGTAAGTGTAAGGCTAAAAGCCCACTCTGAAACAAAATGTTTTTCAAACACAGATATTAGCAACAATACGTTTTACACTCGTGTGATATGTCCAATATAATATAGATTCCAGGGCCTGAGCTGCAATCTAACTGAAAGTTCGATGGGTTAGGCCTGGACACATATTATAAAATAACACAGGTGATTATGTTGTTATGTGTAGCCAGGACTGTGACCTTCTGAACTAGTCAGTACTAGATTCCTAAAAATTTCCCAACCTGTTCTGTAGGTCCTGGATACATTCTGTGCACAGTACAGTGTGCCTCTTATTGTGTCACGCCATTCATTCTATGCACATTAGTCTACTTGCCTCTCTTCTCTGCTCTACAAAAGTGGTACTCTCTCCATGCAAGGATATTGTTTTATATCTGCGTTCTTAACAACAATTATTGCATCATAAGCATAATAATCATTGTTATTCTTCTAAATTAAAATACTCCATCCTGTAGTGACTTCTTCCTCCTCCAAACTCAAGAGCATTTGCTATCAATAGAGTATATGTCAACTGTCTGTGAGCATAGTGACTTGGAATAATTATTAACTCAGATTATTTTCTAACATGAATTTTATAACCCTATCCAACCTGTATCTTCCTTGAAATGAAGAAACTATTTCTTTCGTTTGCTGCATTTTCTAAAACTTCATGCATAGTAATTTATCTACTGGCTGATCCTTAATTTCTCTAATAGTACATAGGAATATTTCCATAATGAAGCTGCATTAGGAAGACTGTTAAGATGGAAATGGAGGAAGTAAAAATCTCTTCCTCCTTTCTCTGCCATGGTTAACTATGACATCCTCAAGAGAAATAGCCTAGCAGTAAACCTTCCACTTACCTTGTCAAAAGGTGACAAGCCTTTAATTCTTGCCCTGAAATACCCAGCTGCAACCAAGAGTTCCAGAATTTCAGTCAACTTGACATTTTGTTCTTCATCTTCTCTTGTTTCTACCTAGAACAAAAGTCACAAGTGTGGCTTGTAAAAGCTACCTTGAGTAAAGGGAAGCCAAGTATATACTCCTGATGCCACAATCTCATTGTCAAGGAGCAGGTGACAATGGCTCATTCACTGCAACAGATTTTCTGTAAAATTCAACAAGCATCTACAGAAACATGTGATCAGCATTGCCAGAATTCCAAAAAATGAGGTCTCAATCTTCAATGAGCTGTTAATCACCACAGCTGGGAAGAGAAGAGTTCACCACATGCAAAAGGAATCCAGAGAAAAGAAAGATCAGGGCACATTACCTCCCTCTTCTCTAACACATGCTGCACTTGACAGGCTTCTCAACTACATTATAAGCTCTTTACAGATAGGAACAAGGTATTTGGGTTTTAAACTATACTCATCCAGGTCTGGAAAGTTACTAACAAATGAGAACAAAGGGGGAAATTTAAATATGTAACCCTCTCTGCATTTCCTTTCTGGATCTCTAAAGCAAATATACAGAAGGCTTTCAATGCAGACATACTAAGGAGTAATTATTGCCACATAATAGGACTACCTTAAAATAATGTAATTCATCTAATATATGTAAATTTTGATTTGATTTGAAATTCATTTATATCCTCCTCACTCGGGGTGTTTACTACTTAAATCCATCTAAATATTCTAGTTTACTGCAACCATGATTTATTTTTATGAACTGCCTCTCCTGTCTTCCATTATTGTAAAAAATTAAAGCATCACTTTTCTGTATAAAACACCACTAAAGTGTCCTGGTTCAAATATTCATGCTTATCCCTGACTATTCCCTCATACAACACCACCCGCTAAATCATCCTTTGCTGTGCACATCACAAATATCCTCCCCTTTTATTCATATTTTATGTCGTGATTATTCCAACGGCCTCTCAATCTTTTTTGTCTCACTCCTTCTTAAAGCTTTAACATTGTCCCTCTTTAATCCATACCTCAACCCTTACCACAAGGCATCATATACTGTCTATAAGATAAACTTCAAATTTCTTCGTTTGGCAATCAGATATTTGGGTGCAACTTATCTTTTCAGTTTCATCCTTTATTTTGCACCAATTTTAACATGGGTGTGGCCAATCAACAACTGCTTGTTCCCACTTCTTCACTTCACACCATTCTCTTTCCCTTGATATTTTCTAACCATCTAGCAATTACCATCAAATTCTAGCTCCCATTAGATGCCATCCCTTACAAATCCAGCTGAAATGTGCATTTCTGCATTACTATACACATCCATGCCACTTATATAGTAAGTATCAACCTTTTCTGAGTAATATGTCAGGTATTATACACATGCCTATCGTATTGACTGAACTATCAGCTTGCTCATTAGAGAATGTATATATTATATACATGTTTTAATTCACTGGACCTAAAAGACATTTACCTCAAAGAAATACTGTTGTGGTTAGAGTGGAGTTTCAACTTGACTGGCTTCAAGATTTCTCTGGCAGACTGGTAGGTATGTCTGGGTGAGTCATGGCAGTATGGTCTTGGGGTCTACCTCTGATCTCATGTCCCTTTCTGGCACTTCCCCCCCTGCTCTTCTCCCCAGAGGCCATGAACTAAACAGTTGTGGTGTACCATGCCCTTCTACCATGATGTTTCTGCCAGCTGCCCATGGACTGAATCCCCTTAAAACATGAGCTAAATCAAACCTCTTGAAATACTTTAAGTTGCAGATGTTGGTATGGTGTGTTACAAAAGAAAAGTTGCTTAATACAGATATACTTACTCAATAGGATACTGACAACAAAAAAAATCAAATTCATTTTGGAGTACAAACTCCCAGGAAAGGGAGGATACACATTAATATGAAGCTAAGCATGCAATTAGCATGTTCCATGCTAATGTAACTACAGGGGAGGGCAACTGAAAATTTATTCACAGTCATTCATGTTTATGAGAACTTTAATTGTAACTGGGTATATAAATCACCTTGGGGAGGTGACAGCCTTGAGCTACTGTACATTTTACTCATCCCCTTTCTTTCAAAAAGACCCTGGTCCAGCCTATGAAAGATTCTAAAGATTAGCACACACTAGCTCTTACTGAATACACAAAAATCAAGTAATATTAATATTCACACCCTGTCTTTCTTCTCAAAAGATCTCAGATGGTTGAGAAAAGTGAAGAGACTCAAAGAAAAGAGACGATAAAGACCAATTCATGAAGATGGAGTAGAAAATGAAAATCAAATGATATAAATATTTTCTTAAAGTTTCTCAGAAGTAAAATAGGAATTCTTCAATTTTTCAACCATCATTTATCGGGAAAGCACTTCTATGAGGAAGACAGCACGTCATAGGAGGATGACCCTGACCTTAACTCTTTTCTAAGAGCCCCACAGGTCACACCATTGTAAATGCATGGCCACTGGTTCTCATCCACTCACCTCCAGAACAGAGAACTGTACTTCTGCAATACAACTTGTGAAACAATTTTTTAGCACAAGACATTGGAGCTGGAATATTTGACTCACAATTCCCTTTAGAGATTAACTCTGAAACAAAATGGAAAAGGGCCTCTGGCTAATACACAGGGAATAAATGAACACACTCTCTTGAAGCCATAAAAAGCTACCAAGGTGATTAATATACCCAGTTAAAACTAAAATTCTGATAAAAATGAATGACTATAAGCTCTTAAATGAGGCCCAATAAATTTTCAATTCCCCTGCCCTATAGTTCATGCAAGCTGGAAGGCAAGGTCCAGCCCAACTGTCTTTTTATCCTTCACAAACTTCCAGTAAAGCATTTTAAAAGTTGAATTTAATGAATTAGCTGGACTGCACTAATGACAGCTGGATGAGAGACTGGTCTTTGGTAATAGTCTGATTATATTCACCCTGACTGCCTCCAAAACTGCTAGGAAGTGTTAAGCTCTTGGAAAACAATGACAAAGGAGGCTCAGCCTCTTAGCAGTACCAGGAAGGGTTCGAGGGACCCAGCAGCAAGTTGTTTACTTTAGAGAGACTCCCCCTCCCCACTTGCAACACTGGAGGGCTTAAGGTGGAACCTGAGAGATCAGATAGGATTCTACGGCAAAAGGCCCGGTAAAAACTCTTTGAGAGCCTAAAATTAAAAAGCAGCAAAAGAGAAAATTTCAAAAATCGCAGAACGATCTTACTCTTAACAATCTTCCATAAAACGAAAGCAACGTGCATGTTTACCTGATGCAGGGGTTCTAACTACAGAACACTTGCTAGATTTTTCTTAAGACAAGACAGTGGGTTGGCCTTCTGAGAACACACTGGCTTTGCCAGTCCTTTCATCTCTGTAGCCCCAGCTGAGTACAGAACATAATGATTCCTCAATTGCGGGAAGAAAGGACCGAAGATCTGGGAGGGGCATAGAGAAGTAAAATGCTAGTGGGAAGGAACCACTCATCATGTCCTGACATCAGTGCCCCTGCGAACGCCTGCTTCACAACTTCAGAAAGGGATGGGGATGCGTGGATGGTGGCTTCAATTTCTCTCCAGAATCTAACAAACTAGACTAGCTTTTAAGTAAATCAACTGGAAGGGAAGGTTCACGCAAACCACCTAGTTCAGTGATACTTGCAACGGAAAGAAAATGCGCTTTTGCTTCATTTCAAGCTAACGTGGAAAACCAAAAACCACTGATGATCCTGTCCCTGGCACCGAGTACTTAGTAACAAACACTTTTGAGAAGACACGTTTGGCAAAGCTGCAAACTTGCGATCAAGGCTCCGTCCCCTACTGCACGGTACCATCAAAGAGCGCGCGTACCCCCTCCAACATCACCCCAGTGGGCTCAAAGTCCCAAACTTCCTCCTCTGCCCCAACCTCTGGGGGTACACGCAGAAGCACTGGCGCTCCCCTCACCACAGGAGGGCGGGCACGGCTGGACCCTGCGGACCTGGAGAGAGGGGGTAGCTGGCCCAAGGTCACCGCCCTTTGCACGACCCGAGCCGGGACAGGGCAGGCGCGCACCGCTCGTGACTCCCGCGGCGGTCCGGCCCCGCAGCCTCCGGCGCAGGGGGAGGAGCACCGCGGCCGGGAGAGGCGGCCGCAGCCGGCTGGCCGGGGCAGGGGTCGGGCTGGCAAGAGCCTTCCGCCCAGGACACCGCGAGCCGCTGAAGTTTGCCCCGGCCGCGCGCTGCCCCTCCTCCGCAGGGGCCGCGCTCCCTCCTGCGCGGTCGGGGCTGGTGCTTCCGGGCGGTGGACACCCCTGAGGAAGGGGACCCGACAGCCTCAAGGCCCCGGGGCCCCCCTCCGCCCGCCTCCCACCTTTCGGCCTCTGCTCGGGAACCCCGCGGGGTCAGGGAGACAGGGGTCCTTACCTCAGGGACACCCTGGCCCTCCTGCCCCTTGGGCAACCCCATGATCCGTCTGGGTTGACCTGGGGAGGCAGCGAAGCCCACCGAGCGTCCGGAGGAAGCTGTCCCTGCAGAGAAGCTGCTACCGGGGTGGAGCGCAAAGCGGAAACTTCCTCCACCGCCGCCACAGCCGCCAGCGCCGGCTCCGGGGCGCCGCGGCTCGGCCGGTCGGCGGAGCATGCGCGCTGGAGCTGGAGCGCGACGCGACTGCGCATGCGCAAGGGCAGCAAGGCTCTATTGGGCGGGGCCAGATTGCGGAGTTGGGTAGAACCTGTTTCGGCCCTATGTGCTGGCTGGGCGGTGGGTTCTCTCGCTTCAAGGCTCTGAATTTTCTTCCGAGGGGTTTCATGAAAGATATTCTTTCCTCATCGTGAGGATATTTTCCTTTCCAGCTCCCTCCTCGGCCTTCTCCAGGCATCAGATGCTCCGAGTGAGTCCGGTTTTCCGTACGAGCCGTGCTTGACGCTTCCAGCTCCCTCAGAGCCTGAACGCAGATAAGCTTGGGAAGTCTAGCTCCAGGCCGGGCTCCGGCCCTGCTTAACGAGCTCCTGGGCAGCTTCTCGATATATGGACCAGAGGATGTAGCCCCCAAGAAGGCATTCCTCGTGCTCCCCGCTGCCCTCCCCCTCATCTGAACCCATTACATCTTGTTGCTGGGACATTTCGCTTGGGATAGAGCCCCTGCATCTACTGCTGCGCCCCATCCCGGGCCTCAGGGTCATTCCTAAGAATGCAGCCTCCTTTGCGTCTGTCTTTTTACCTGCCACATTGCTTATATTATGCACCCCTTGTCTGTCCCAGAGGATGTATAAAAGGATTATCTCTCTGGCCGCAAGCCCCATGCCATCTCCAAATGGCCGCCCCAGCCCCTTCCCCCATATTTTTAGAGATGAAGACAGAAGTGTGAAATCTTTTGGTACAGAAGAGCTCCTTTACAGAAGGGAAGGGGACGAAGAGATGCAGGGAGAGGGAAGGGAGGGAGGGGAGGGGAGGGGATAAAAAAGAAGATGTGTTCACGTGTACCGCTTTCCATGATGAATGTAATTATTATGTACTACAAATGCACTAATAAAAATAAAACTTTAAAAAGAGAATTCCCTTACGGGAATGGGGAGCAGTATGAGACACTGAGCTCCTTTAGGTCAAAGATTCCTCTCTCTCTCTCTCTCTCCATCCTTAATTTCTTTTTTTAAAAAATAAGTACTTAGTAGCAGTTTACCATTAAAAGAAATTCATTTAACTTGTTACACTCTTCGTAGCATTTATCCTGACAAAACAGAAGCTTACCTGGGACAAGAGCACACCAGCAGTTAGAAGAGCCCAAAGTACATCATTTCTTTTTTATTTGTTTTTTTTTGTTTTTGTTTTTTTTTGGTTTTTCTCCGGTACCGGGAACCGAATGTAGCTAGCAAGTGTTACCCAGAGCTATGTGCCATCCCCAGGCCCGAGTCCTCAGACCCAGTAATTTGAGAAACCTAAATGCACCAGATCAGGTGCTGAGATGGGAACCCTCTTGTCTGGGTTGCATGACCTCTGGCGTTCATTCATTGTGAAGCAAATAAAACTTAGTTTCTAAGGTGCTCCTTCTCATAATTTCCCAAATAACTTATTTTTGTAACCTTTAAGCTGTCCTTCACTGAAATGGTACAGGTTAAGAGGAAATAGAGGGTGACGATCATTTGTGACCAATGTAGGTGATTAGATAGGTACTGATGTCTCCAGACAGGTAGCAAAATCTTACACAGCAGGCAACCCTAAGTAGCTGCATATAAAGTAGCTCAGGAAAAAAAGAACCTGGAGAATAACAGGATTCAGGGAGGCTACAGCACCCGTCCCTTGTTGTAAATGCCTTTGCAAAGTTTTAAATAAACATGAGCAGCCAACTTTCCCAGTAAGAAATTGTCCTCTTTTATTGTCTGTGTAGGGTGACAGTAGCAGAATTGGGCTAGGAGCATGGTTTTTAAAAATTAGCAAAACAGCCATGGTAACAGAGCAACCCAACTTTTGCATAGCCTTGGGGAAGGCCTTGAACAGTGACAGAGGAGATTTGTGAGGAATATCTCCAATATACTGTTTTCCCTCTTCTCTAAGTCTAGGTTTCTCCATATGCATTTGGTGTCCCTAGTGGGCTACTTGGAGATTAGCAGTAGGTCTGTCTGGAGTTCTCTGCATATTCATTGAGGAGCTGTGTGATGTTCTTCCAATTGCCAGATCCCCTGGTGCCTCACAAGTACCTTTCCCCTTGCGGGTAAATGGATGCCACAGTAAAGAGCTTCCTGTTGATCATCTTACCCTGAATGAAAGCTTCTTTAAAGCCGCAATTATTTTGTTTTTAGGCTGCTCACAGTCCCACTACTCTGAGCTCTGGCTTTGACCAAGAAGGGAAAGTGTGAAGTTCTACAGCAGGAAGCAACCTTAAAAAGCATGTGGTGTAACAATGAATGTTCAGAAAAGTAGAATGATGCATCTAAGTTGTGCAGTATATGAGTGACAATGCTGGGACCACAGACCAGATTTCTGGTTCACAACGTACATTTAGTCATCTCTCTATCCATTAGTATTTCTGATATCCTTCTATGTCAGTGACCCTCAAACTTGTCTGCACGTGAAATCACCAGATTCTATCACTAGAGAGTATCTGATTTAATTGGTTTGAGGAGAGGCACAAATGCTAGATTTTTTTCTACTTGGACTAAATCATTTTATGTATAACATGGTAGTGAACAAAAACTACATTTTGAGCACACTATTTTTCTTTATAGACACAATGGCACAGAAAATTCAAAATCCATAAATAAACTAAGAGCCCTTAGGTTAAATGAGTTCTTCAACATTTTTAATTGTATGGGAGTCTATTTTCAAGTAGTAAATTTTACCATGAATCATCCTATATTTAGCATGTAACATTTCTACAGTAAAATAATGGAGGCACACATAATGCAAGTTTACTTAAACCCCTCAATTTCTGGACTGAAGATAAAGCAGCCCAGCATACATGCGCCCGCGTGCGCGCACGCGCGCGCGCGCGCGCGCACACACACACACACACACACACACACACACACAATTTTCTGGGTGAGTTTTCCCATCCATTTTCCAAAAAATGATAGTTTTACAGATTCCAGAAATGTTCATAGTTTTCATAACCGCACTCTATTCACTGTATCAAAGCAGATTTGACAAGGACCTAACTACACAGCAGTGAATAAACACACTTGAGAATATCTGCTATATTCTCCATCGCCCAGAAAGAATGATAACATATTCTTGCTAAGGTGATTTAATAATTAAACATTTCTTGTGGGATCTGGACAAGTGGATTTTAAAACCTTAACTGGTGATTCCACTGAACAGCCAATTTGACAAGAGTTTGTGACAGAAACTGTTCTTTGTGTGGAGAGATTACAGCCAATGAATGGACAAGATAATTAATGAAAAAAATTAAACATGTAAATTAATAAGATAATAGCCTGTAGAAGTGTTATTTAGGAGGGGAAAAGCAGTGTAATAGGATAAGGACTAGTTGAAGTCAGTCTCTTAAAGAAAAGGGCTGGGCTAGGACATGAGTCCTGAGGTATGTAATGTGAATCCTGGGGACTGGGGATCTGACTTGTGAGTGTAGGGGTTAGGATTCCAATAACAATTTGGCAAATATACAAGAAGTGTAAAAATATTCCTGAATATTGCGAGAATTAGTCTTGACTGTCAACTTGACTGGATTATGAGATGCCTAGCAGATTACTAAAGTACTCTGGTGTGTCTAGGTTGGTCATGGAGGGATGACCTTTGGTATTGTATCTGCCTTCTGGCCGTTCCTTCCCAGTGCTCTTCTGCTCTCTGTTTACCAACCCCAATGAAGTGAGCGGAGTGTGCAGCACCACACTGTTGCCATGATGTTTCTGCCTTGAAGCCACCCAACTATAGACTGAAATCAAATTGAATCTGTCCTTCTTTAGGTCAGGTATCTTGTCCTAGTAATGAGAAATGCAGACACGATGGCTCCACTTTTAGGGCTCAGGTACAGAAGTCTTCATCGTAATGTTACTTTGAGAGAAAAACCTGGAAATCATGTAAATAACCCATATTAAGGCACAGATTAAGTACATTATAGTGTATTCATTCAGTGGAATACATTGCCAGTGAAAATGTGCACTTCAGGAGACCACAAAAGAAAAGGGTGAGAGATGAGGTCTATAAATATTAAAAATGTCTGCCTGTGAAGACATCATTAAAATATTTTAAAGACAATCAGAAAAGGAAGTTCTTTACCTGTGACAAGAATTGTTACAGATAAGGAAAGAAACTCTAATAGAAAAATAAGTGCATAACTTGAATAAAGAATTCCTGAAGGAAATTGTCACTAAACATATAGGAAAAATTCTCAACCTCATCTTAAATAATTAAAATGGGGTATCTTTTTTGCATGCAAGAAACAACATTTTAAGAACATTAAATGAATGATAATAACATATCATTAGTTATTAAGTTTTCACAACAGTTCTGGAAAGTAATTTACCAAAGTGTATTTTTCACCTAATATCCCTTCAGGGCTTACTATGTGCCAGGTGCTGAGAAGAGTTCCTAAATGGGCAAGTGAAGTGACTTAGTGCCCACGGGACATTCAGAGTTTTCACAGTAGGCATGGTAGGGGAGGCTATCTTAGTCTATATTGGCTGCTATGATATAATGCCATAAATTGGGTGGTTTATAAATTATTTTATTTTATTTTTCACAGTTCTGGGTGCTGGGAAGTATAAGATCAAGACATTGGGGGATTTAGTGTCTGAAGGGAGCCTGTTCCTTATAGGTGGCCTGTTTCTCACCAGAACATCACATAGCAGGAGAGGTGAGGGACCCCTCTGGGGCCTTTCCTACAAACACCCTAGTCCCATTCATGAAGGCAGAACCCTAATTACCTCCCAAGTTCCTAACTCCTAACACCATCACCTTGGTGGCTAGGATTTCAACTTAAGAATTTTAGGAAGATGCAAACATTCTCACCATAGCAGAGGTATTACTAGCATTTAGCACCAAGCTGTTACAGGTGTCAGACTTTCTGCATTGACTTTAGGTCACAGGAATTTCTTTGTCAAGAGGAACATGAATTGGATATAAGATTATAGCAGTTCTGGAGGAAGTATTAAAAGCCGTCCTTGTTCCTCACTCTCCTAGGCTTGTGGCATCTAACACAAG